CTTGTCATTCCGTCTTGTTATGAATGACGGCTGGCGGACTTTATAGCCACCGCCCAAGCCACCCTCTTCCACCACCTTTCTAAAATTGATTGTCAATCCATCCCCAAATTTACTTATTTGCCCTCCACCACTTTTTCAATATATAGAGCCGTTGCTATAAAATATTGCAGTGCTTAAAAGGTCAAAATAAAAAATAAATTTATTGAAAAACAACATATAGTCCACTGTTTTTATATATTAAACCACCGTTTTGTACGGATTAAAATTAAAATTTAATTCATAGTTAATAATTAATTTTAATCTGAATCTCAGATCTATTTTACAAGTCCGTTATTACGGGTAATTTCTACAAATGATTGGACTAATGACGTATACAATACTTGAATTCTCGATGTAGATACTACATATTTGATTCTCATCCTTCAGAGATTACGAGGGTAATAGGAGCATCCGTCGACAAAATGATCACTGTAAGATGATCATTTCATGGCTACTCACATATTTTATGGAATTCATAATTTCTCAATCACTCATTTCATCAATTTTTATCAAAATTTATTAGAAATCTGATTTTAATCACCACCAAACAGAGACTAATTATTATATCAAGACAAATTATTGACAAAGTATAATAAAAAAATAGTATTTTATTCAAACTCAATTGATAACTCGAACATTTTTTACTCTCGAACTCTCGAGACCAATCAAAACAAAGTAAAGAAAGTATTACAAAATAAGAAAAATTTAAAAAAAAAAGATGAATAATTTGATCAAAGCTTGAGTTTTAGTCAAAAATAAAGTCACAATCAAGAAGGTCACACTCACCCATGGCATAATGCCACGATGAATTTTTGGTGCCTTTCGACTTTTTTTCCAATACTACATCATTTTTTTTAGTCACTAATGTATTTTCATATCACAATATATTTGACTCTATCATTGCATTTCTCTTCACTATTATTGGCTTCTAATGTCTAGTGGTGAAAAATGACATAGTGCATTGAAGTAATTATATTCGTAGTACAATTTGTGTTACGTGCATAACATTTTAATTACAATGAACGTCCTTATTTTTTAAAATTTTGCACTTATGTTTTTAACATTTTTCTGTTGCGTTCAATAAATTTTTTTTATCAATTGTTCTGTTATTAATTTAAAAATATGATGAACAAATAAATCTTTTTACTCCCTCCTTACGATTTTTTTTTATCGTCATAAGATACAAGATATGATAACTAATAAAATATTGAATATAAATTTCTGACCAAAAATAGTAGGGACGTAAATGCGAATATAAGCAAAAGTTGAAAACGTTTATCGCAATTAAAATGTGACAATGTGAATATAATTACTCATCGTCTTGTTATTCGGACTATAATTAAAAAACAATTTGCCCTCAGGGCACATCTCCAAGTGGTAAAATGGGAAGGTGGAAAAACTCCAACTTTGCTTGAGACTCCCGCGTTAAGAGTTCGAATCCTGAAAAATGGATTTGCCCATTGGGTAAGTTCAAGTAGCCTTAAAAACTCCAACTTTGCTTAAGGTTGTCGCGTCAAGTGTTCGAATCCTGAAATATGGATTTGATCATTGGGTAAGTGTAAGTGTACAAACAGCCTTCCACCCTATACCCGTGGAGGCATAACCTGCGGTTTACTTCATTCATCAAGGCAGGACAGGACAGGGCAGGACATGACAGGACAGGTAGGGACGCTAAGGATGCGGTTCATCCTTTTTATAATTATAAAACAATTTTATTCAATTTTAATTATACCAATAAATTTCATTATATTAAACAATTATTACTCTTCCTAAAGATATTATGAAACCAATATCTTTACAGAAAGGAAAGTAGGGGAATCCGAGAGAATGGAAATTTTCAAGGGTAATGTTGTCATTTAATTATCTATATGAGCAAATATTTTGAGAGAGAGAGAGTGAGAAAAGAGCACACACTATTGTCCAACGCGTACTATAGGAATTGGGTTTCCCCATTTTGTCCTTTTCTTGTTTCGTAACGCTGTTTCATTGCAGTCAATCTCAAACCCCAGCATATACATACAAATATAAACATAACAGTAAAGAGAATTTTACCCTAACAAACACTCACACAGAATTTATAGATATAGAGAGAGACTGATAGAGAGATCTGAACAGCAAATGGGGTAAGTTGAGAGAGAAGAATGGAAAGCAAAGCAGCTGAGTTGTCCTTTTTTGTAGCTATGGCTACCGATCAGAAATTGCAATCTAAATTTTCGGCGTTCATTTCTTATTGAGTAAGTTTTTTATACGTTTCCTTTATGTGTAGTTCAGTTAGCTTTATTTGTTATACGGTTTTGTATGTATTTTTTGATTTGTACATGTAGTATGACTGGTTAGTTGACTTGTTTGATACTTCCATGACTTAATTTTTGCGGTTTTCTGAATGAGATTTGATGATCATAGAGATAATTTGCTGATCTAGATTTTCTGATTTTTGACGTTTGATGAAATTGAGTGTTTTTAGAAAATTATGAGATTTCTGCGTGATTGGATGTTGTCGTTGTTGATGATCAGAAAAAATTGTTTGAAGTTCTGTGATTCTCTGGATTTCTTGATTTGTTTTCACGATTGGTTCTGTCAATTTTTTCTAACATGTATGCTTTATGTTTGATCAGGTAAACATTTGATTAACTTTTCTGGAGACTTCCCTTATATGTGGTAAATTACTCTGCACTTGAGTTTTGTTTCCATCTTAATTCTTTCTATATTTATATATAGCAGTTAAAAAAATTGTGGATTTCGTTTAGTAAGTTTTTTAACTCACTTCTGACTAGGTGTAGATGCTGAAAGGCTTCCGCGAACCCAGTTCTGTCTATTGGTATTGAATTGGGTGCTTGGAGATTTTGTTTCATTCTATTCTGGGGCCAGATATATTCCTCGCTGTGTTATTGGTTCCGCAAATTTTTTCATTGCTGTGATAAAAGTCTGATTCACATCAGAGAAGATGGCGAAATTGTCACAGTCTGATTCCAGACGGATGTACTCGTGGTGGTGGGACAGCCATATTAGCCCAAAAAATTCAAAATGGCTTCAGGAAAATCTCACTGGTATAGCTCAGATTTCTTACAGATCTGTTCATAAGAAGGAACGATTATTTATCTACTCTATTTGCTTTCAATTGTATGAAATGCAAAATGAGGTCATTTTTTGTGCTGCAGTTCATATTTTAACTTCCTAGAAGCATCCTTTCGTGGTAATGGTTGTGCAATTTGGCTGTTCTATCTAAGTTTCCTTGCTTGTATAATAGATCTAGCGTCAGTTATACATCAATTTTCTTAAGAATCGTGTCAAGTTTTCATATATGCTCTTGAGAAGAAGTTTGGAAATAGATAACTTGTAATGAAAGATTAGACGTTTCTGGTTAAATTTTCTAACCAGCAACATGCAATGACACTGGACGTTATATCGTGCTTCTCCTTCTGCTGTTGTACTTGGAAACTCACACAGTATGTGCAAACAGCTAAGGTTCAGCTTTCAAATTTAGAACACCCAGTTCATACAAAAATGTGAAAATCAGGTGTAAATCTCCCAATAGCCAGAGACATTCACACCAGTACAAACTCGACAAGTTACAAGATAGCGCCACATTGTTCTATAAGAAACAAATCTTCTTAGCAAGTAACTCTCTTCTATGTGCTTTGATGCAACAATTGAATGAAAAACTTATTTTCATATATGAATCAATGCTTTAAATTGCAAGAAATCTCCTCAAAACACGATTTAAGGCAGAAAGAAGGTGTTTGAATCACATGAAGAACAATATGGGAATGATATAGCTGTCCTATTTCTGGTGTAATGAAGTTCAAAATCCACCTAGGATATTGACACAAAGGTAAACATAACCGTGTGTATTATAGAGGAATACAAATGGTGATTTCTATGGAAAAGCTGAAAAACAAATTCCAAAAATATGCTGAAGAGACCCGATATCCTGATTATATGTTTGATTGCTAATGAAATTTATGCTAGGTCGATAAATTTGATGATTTCTATTTGCCATTTTGCTTAGCTTTACCCGTTTCTACAAGCACACACAAAAAGTAGAAGATTCGAAGTTGGGATGTAAATGCTGCTCAGCCATCAGTTTTTTCTTCTCTTCATCTGTTATTAATTGGAAAAAAAAAACATCACCTACTTCCTTTTCTTGTACCTCATGATACACAAATCCCATTATCGGGGGTGTATACATTTCTCAAAAGCCATCACGAGAAAAGTTGCAGAACCTTGGTCATCAAATTGATTGCACGATTATATGTAGTGAATTGGACTGTGTATGCTTGAATGATCGTGTGTCTTGCTGGAGCTCGCTACTGAAAATTTTGTCTGTCTTTAACAGATATGGATTCCAAAGTCAAAACAATGATCAAGCTCATTGAAGAAGATGCAGATTCCTTTGCAAGGAGGGCGGAAATGTATTATAAGAAACGTCCAGAACTTATGAAAATGGTTGAGGAATTCTACAGAGCATATCGCGCATTGGCAGAAAGATATGATCATGCAACTGGTGTCATTCGCCACGCCCACCGGACTATGTCAGAAGCTTTTCCAAATCAAGTCCCCCAATTATTTGCTGATGATTCACCTGCAAGTTCTGTGTCTGGGACTGATCCCAGAACGCCCAAGATTTCAACCCCAGCACATGCACTATGTGAAGAGGATAGTCTGCAAATGGATGCTCTGAATTCATCTGATTCCCTCGCCCTCAAACAGAATGGAGAATTCACAGATGATTCTGATTCCGTAACAAGAAGGATTGTGGAAGTGAGAAAGGGTCTCAATTTTGATGAGGTAGAGGAGAAAGAAAAAAGCAGGCAGGACTCTGAGAATCACAGTGTCAAGGAAGAAACACAATCAAGATCAGAGAAAGTGGGTGAATCTGAGGGGATACTTACCTTGAAGGAAGCCCTTGCCAAACTGGAAGCTGAGAAGGAAGCTGGCCTTGTGCAGTACCAACAGAGTTTGAATAAACTGTCCATTCTTGAGTCTGATATCGCTCATGCCCGAGAAGTTTCCAGAGAGCTCAATGATCGTGCAAGCAAAGCAGAAAATGAAGCTGTTATCTTCAAGGAAGAACTGTCCAAATCAGAATCTGAAAAGGAAGCTAACCTCCAAAAGTACCATCAGTGCTTGGACAAGATATCTAATCTAGAGAAAAATCTTTCTAGTGCCGAAGAGGATTTGGAGGAACTCAATGAAAGAGCTAGCAGAGCAGAAACTGAAGCGCAATCCTTGAAAGATGAGCTTACTGAGGTAGCTGTTGAAAAGGATACAGCTCTCAATAACTACATGCAATCTTTGGAGATGATATCGAACTTGGAGAACAAATTAGAAATCACTGAAGAGGATGCTAGAAGGCTGAAAGAGAGAGCAGAAAAAGCAGAAAGTGAAGTTGAAGTTCTAAAGCAAACCATTTCCAAATTGACTGAGGAGAAGGAAGCTGCAGCTCTCCAATACCAGCAGTGCTTGGAGACAATTTCTTGTCTAGAGAAAAAACTCACAAGTGCCCAGGAGGAGGCCCAACGGCTTAACGGCGAGATAGATTATGGAGTTTCCAAGTTAAAGGGCGCTGAAGAGCAATGTCTTCTATTAGAAAGATCAAACCAGTCACTTCACTCTGAGTTGGAATCTTTGATGTTGAAGATGGGAACTCAAACTCAAGAACTTACTGAGAAGGATAATGAATTGGGAAGACTTTGGGCTTGCGTACAAGAAGAACGCTTGCGTTTTGTGGAGGCTGAAACTGCTTTTCAAACTTTGCAGCACTTGCATGCTCAAACTCAGGAAGAGCTGCGGTCTTTGGCTTCAGAACTGCAGAGGAGGGCTGAACTTTTGAAGACTGTGGAGTCCCATAATCAGAGTTTGCAAAATGAAGTTCTACAGGTTAACGAGGAGAACAAGAACCTCAATGAGATCAATGAATCTTCAGCATTGTCAATAGAGGATATGGAAAATGAGATCACTGGCTTAAAAGGAAGAAACAGGAAACTTGAAGAGGAAGTTGAGCTTCGACTTGATGAGAGAAATGCTCTCCAGCAAGAAATATACTGTCTGAAAGAAGAACTGAATGATTTGAACAAGAACCACACTTCAGTTCTGGAGCAGGTGCATGCAGTAGGCATTAACCCAAGGTCCTTGGGATCATCAGTCAAGGAATTACAGGATGAGAATTCAAATCTGAAGGAAACTTGCTCTAGAGAACAAAATGAGAAAGTAAATCTCTTGAAGAAACTGGAAATACTGGAGCAGCTTCTTGAGAAAAATTCCATATTGGAAACCTCCTTATCAGATTTGAATGCCGAACTAGGGGTAGTCAGAGGACAGATGGAAGCACTGGATCAATCCTGCCGATCTCTTTCAGAGGAAAAATCCTCCCTTATTGATGAGAAGGACGCTCTCATGACTCGGTTACAGGTGACAAGCGAGAATCTGGAAAAACTCTCGGAGAAGAACTCTCTTCTGGAGAATTCCCTTTCTGATGCTCACGATGAACTTCAAGCCTTGAAGGCTGAATCCAAAAGCCTAGGAAATTCATACCAGTTACTCGTGGAGGAGAAGACTGTCCTAATCAATGAAAGGAGTGATTTAACTTCTCAGTTGGGAACCACCCAGACAAAGCTAGAAGATATGTGTAAAATTTATGGAGATTTGAAAGAGAAATACATGGCTCTGGAGAAGGAGAAAGAATCCACTCTTGGCAAATTAGAAGGGCTGCAGATGTCATTGGATGTAGAAAGGCAAAAACATGCCAATTTTGTCCAAAGGAACGAGCAAAGATTCACTGACGTCCAAGCTGAGATGGAGCTTTTGCAGGAAGAATCTCAACAAAGAAAGAGAGAACTTGAAGAAGTGCTGGATAATACTTCAAATTATGATATTGAAACATTTGTCCTACGTAAGACTGTCGAAGATCTAGAAGAAAATAGTTGCTCCTTGCTGATTAAGCATCAGAAACTCGTAGAGGAATCCAATTTGTCAGAAAAGCTGATTTCAAAGTTGGAACGAAACAATGTTGAGCAAAAAGTTGAAATCAAATCCTTATTTAATCAAGCTACTAGTCTGAGGGAGGGAACTTATGAGGTGTTGAAAGCACTCCACATTGTTCGAGATCACCCATGCAATGATCAAAATGGGCAAGACCATATCTATCTCAACCAATTGCTGAGTGAAGTTCTAGATATGAAGAAATCCCTCCACCAAGCTGAGATAGAAAATCTGCAGCAGACAGTTGAATTGTCAGTTCTTGTCATGTTGATTCGGCAACTAAGACTAGAGGCACAGAATCTCGAGCTAGAAAAGAACACTGTTGAGCACGAGTTCAAGATCAAGAGTGAGCAGTTCTTGATGTTGCAGAGCAAGGTCCTCGAACTCCATGAGACGAATAAAGAATTGTTGTCCAAATTAAGGGAAGGGGATTGCAAAGAGGAAGCGCTAATGACTGAGATAGAGGATCTACACAGGAAGTTAATGAACATGCAAGATGCTTGTCGGGTGGTTCATGGAGAGAATTTAGACCTTCGTGAAGAGAAAATATCCTTGACAGATGAGCTCCTACTCTTGAAGCAAAATAAACATATCCTACAAGAGGAAAATTGTGTTTTGCATGGTGAAATGTTGACTCTAGATTATCTTTCCTTAATTTTCAGAAACTGTATTGATGAGAAACATGTTCTATTGAGACAACTTGGTTCTGATCTAAATAAACTTCACGATGTCAATGGTGCTCTTATGGGAAACTTAAGCTTAGCAGAAGGGAGGTTGGACAAATTGCAAATGGAAAATGCCGACGTCAAGGAAGGATTACTGAAGTCAGAGAAGGAATTGAGGATTTTCTCTATCGCCAAAGATAATCTGACTAACCTGATTGAAAATGGAAAGAATATGTTACATCAGAAGGAACTGGAACTTCAGGAAGCAGAACAAAAGGTAAATCTACTGGAAAATAAGAATTTTGAGTTGATTAAAATTGTGGAAGGTCTAACTGTGGAGTCCAATGAACTTAAGATGATCAGAGAAGGTCAAGAAAATCAGATTCTCAAACTATCTGCAGATAATGACCACTTAAATATGGAGAATAATCGCCTGTGTGAAGTAAGTCAGGTATTGGAACTTAATCTGCACAACTTGCTCGGAGAGCATGAAAAGAGCAAAGCCCAAGAAGAAAATTTACATTCTGAGCTGCAAAAGAAAATAAATGAGATTGATATGTGGGAGATTGAGGCTGCATCTCTGTTTAATCAATTACAGATGTCCATTGTCAATCAGCTTCTTTATGAGCAGAAGTTTCATGAGCTCAGTAAAACTTTTGTTGACTCTACAAATGAAAATGAAGGTCTCAAAACTCAATTGGCTGCACATGGCCCTGCAGTAATTTCCTTGGAGGAATGTATATCATCCCTGGAGAAGAATATCATTTTACCTGTCAAGCTTCAAGATTCTGAAGAAGACAAAAAGGAGGTATTTTTTATTATTCTGCATAGACATCTAATCTGACAGGAGTTTGTTTTCAGAATATGAAACACTACAGTTCCTAAATTCTTCAAATAATTAGGTTCATTTTAAAACATATACACCCACATCTTAGTAAGTATGCATACATGCTGACCAAAAAAGTTCTGAATCAGTCGCTTGCAGACACACGTGCATGACATAACACGATATTGGGAATTGTTTGAAAAATTAGGACAATGCACATCTGAGAAATGGCTATTAAAGAACATAAAAATAATCATGTTAGATTAATTTAGATTATAAACTACTTTCATGTGATGAAATTTTAGAAGTAAATAATGAACATAAAGCATAATCCAATAAAAAGTTACAAGAGTAACAAATAACATCAAATACAGAAATATAATACTCTTCAACTTCATTGCTTCTTAGATTGAATTAGATCTGATCTGAATATTTTAATGAATTCCATTTTAACTCGAACTTTTAAAACCCATTTTTAGCTTTCCTTCACAAAAAAATTTGTCCAAGGAGTGTGCATGTGTCGGTAAGTGTGGGACACCACATAGTGATATGAAGACATTTCTGAAGTTTCAATTTATCCTAGTCTGTTAGTAATTCAATCTTTAATTCCTTATTTCTGTCTCCCCTCCAAATTACATCGAGACCAATCTAGGATACATGGTTTTTCTTTAACCAAGCAAGTACTTTAAAATGTTTGGTCATACTATAGTCAGATCCAGCACAGCTAACTGGAGCCATAAGTTTGAGTTTTTTTATTAGTTCTTCTTGGCTTTAACAGATAGATATTCTTGCACTGTATATTTTAGGATTTCAACATGGGGTTTCCAGAATATAGTGGAATTATGAACAGTAAGATGTTGTAACGACATTTCTGAGTGAACACGAGGGAAATATAACACATTTGCATATTTTTTTTGTGAGTTTCAAATTCTCTTGCGACTAGTTGTTGGTCATCATATGACCCCAGTTGGGTCTTATATTTTCAAGAACTTGTATGATCTGTTTCTCAAATTTCAGTATTGAACTTTTCATGAGATTATGGTATGGCGATGGCTGCAAAATAGTAGTTTCCCTTCATTTCCTAGGATTATCTTCAGGTTTACATGGCTAGAATTTCTATATATCAAACTTGTTGACTGCATTTTCCACACGTATTGCTTATACTAATTGCTGGATTCTTCTCTTATTTTGTTGTTTTTAGGATTCTCAAGAGAGGAATCATGTCATTGGAAACCATCTGATTGAAAATGAAAAACCCGTGATGCCCGACACTTTTTCAGGTTTGCATAATCTGCAGGTGAGGATTCAAGCTATTGAACAGGCAGCAGTTGAAATATATCAACTAAGAGTTCAAGAAAGCGTTCATCTCCATGCGAAACTGGAGGCTGCAACTAGGCAAGTCGAGGAGTTAAAATCCGAAAGTAGCCAATATAGGAGAAATTTGAAGTCATCAACTGAAATTTCCGAGGTAGACAATACACTTCTGACAAAAGACATCGTGCTTGATCAGATTTCCGAAAGTTCGTCTTATGGAATTAGCAAGAGAGAACAGGTCGAACCTGATGATCAAACAATTTCACCAACCACAGACAGAAATCATGATTTTCACCCTGTTAAATCAGTAAGGAAACAGAAAGGCGAGCATCTTGTTTCAGACGGACTGACCGAGAAGGAGTTGAGTGTTGACAAGTTGGAGATTTCAGAAAGATTTACTGACCCCCTTCAAGAAGGGAGCAAGGGTAAGGCATTGGAAAGGCTGAATTCAGACATTCAGAAATTGGCAAATCTTCAAATTACAGTTCAAGACTTGAAGAGGAAACTCGAAGTTACTGAGAAGGGCAAAAGGGGAAAAGATGTTACTGAATGTGAGACACTGAAGGGACAGCTCGAAGAAGCTGACATCGCCATCATGAAGTTGAATGATCTCAATGGGAAATTGATAAAAAGTATCGAAAACAATTCTGTCCCAGATGTTAAGTCCTCATTCGACTCAGAAGATGACGGGAATGTCAAAAGGAGGAGAATTCCCGAGCAGGCACGAAGAATGTCCGAAAAAATTGGGAGGTTGCAGTTAGAGGTACAGAAGTTACAGTTTGTTTTGTTAAAACTTGACGAAAAGGACAATAAGGGAAAAACTCCGACATCTGAAACAAAACGAAGAATTGTTTTGCGGGATTATCTCTATGGTGTGGGAAGAACCACAAACGGACGAAAGAAATCACATTTTTGTTCATGTGTGCAACCTTCGACGACTGAAGATTGAGGTTTCAATGTAATATCTGCGTGTTAGAAGAGCTATTTTTCTTCATTAGCACAGTCTCTTTCTTTATACATGAATCTCCTATAGATATTCATATCTAAGTGTTCTGCCTCGTTAAAGATTTATGCATCTTTAGGCCTTGTAAATTTTTAATACTTGACATAATGAATAATTTTAAACTATGATCTGTCCTATATTGGCAATCTAGCCGTGTAAGAAAACGGAGATCCTCTTTAATTTTCCATTCATTGATCTCTAGAAATTGAAAATATTGTGTAATTTTTTTTTTTATAAATTCAACCATTTTTTATTGTACGTTCATTCAAAGTTCGTAAGTAGATCCAACGTCAAACTTTAAATATTTTTTGACACTATTTTCAAAAATCTTACATGCACTTACAAAATGATATTTTTTAGTTGGCGACCAAACACTAGACGAAAAATTTAAGTTGGTTAAACATATATTTTATTAACTAAACTATTAACTTATGATCTACATATTCGGTAAAACCCACAACTTATAATCACTTGAGAGTCTAATTTAAGCATTCCCAAGCTTTAATTTATGTCTGATACCATTACAGGCATTATCCTCATAGATAAACAGATGTACTCTTGCAAAACCCAAAGGTATTACATAGCAATATAAACATGATAGTGCTATAAGATGAGTAAAAAAAAAAAATGAAGACATTACTCATTCTACCAAGCTTGGACAAAAAAAAAAAGAGGCGAGCCGAGTTCAACGATGTCCGCTTGGCAAAGGCACTAGACGGTATGAGCACACACAGCCTTCTCTTTGCAATGCTGCAAGTGTTTAGTTAAGTTTTCTCTAATAGTTCTGCCCATTGGATCGACATGCTTACAGCTCTGCACTATATAATCAGAGTCGTGATTCCCAGACAAGACAACATCCGGATGCAAACTGTCTCCACAATCGATTATAATATTATGAAGCAAACAACATACCAAGATAATACTAGGTAGTTTCCGCTTATCGGGCCTCCACATAACCTTACTTAGGATTCTCCAACCACCCTTCAGTTGCGAAAACGCCTTAACAGCAGCAGCTCGGGCAGCTTCAAGCATTTGATTGAGTTCTAACATGGGTATTTCAAGATCATTATCTTCGTAAGGAGTTATAAGCCATGGAAGAAGTGGGTAACTAGCACCACCTACGATATATTCTCGAATCTCCTCTTCCTTAGATGACATCCTGACCTTTCCATTTAACCGTTCGCCACTTTCACAAAGTTTGTAAAATCCCGAACACTTTAATAGTCGAGAAATAGGCATGCCCCCGGGCCAACCTGTCACAATATCCAGAAATCTCGTCTTGTTATCAACAACTCCTTGGACGAACATACTGTAATTGTTTTCTTGATCACACCAATCGTCTGAAGTTTCAACAGCAGGAAGGGTCATAATGACGTGTGTAGCGTCTATTGCTCCACAACAATTAGGCAATCCCGAAAATGATTCAAATGTAGATTTGATTTCATCCATTTTATTAGAATCAGGCCATTTAAGATGGTGCTTTGCCCGTTCTTCCATGGCCTCAATAAATCTCCAGGTGACCTGAGAAACAGTGGACTGTCCTACTCCAAAGGAAGCTCCAACGGAAACTTGGGATTCGCCAGAAGCCAATCTTCTCAACGCAATAGCAACTTGCTTCTCAACACTAAGGAGCCTTCCTTCAATATTGATGAGACCCGAAGGCGGTCTGGAAATAAGATCTTCTCTAACAAGAGAACAGATGTACTCAAAAGTTTTCTTTGATATCCGAAAGAAATATTTGAATCCTTCTTCCTCGTCGTAGGGTTCATTTGAACCTGCAAAGTAGAAATAAGTTAACAAAGACAGTTTAATGGAGAAATTAACAGCTACAAATCTACAATGAGAGACAACACCAATTAAAAAGTTGCGAAAGATCGAAAACTAACTAAATTTTCAGAGAAATGCTTCGGAATCTGAACTCCATTGTTATGAAAAAGCAGGTCAGCTGAAATGGGGAGACAATGGCAAGAGGAACACCAGGAAGAAGACAAGCCAGCCACCGGTTTTTTAAATCAAGTGAAGTCGTCGTTTCAATTAAATTTAACGGTGTCGTTTTGAGTTGAAATTGCCGAATGTAATAGGGATACGTTTTATTCAATGCATTTTCATAAAACACTTTTCTTCTTTCGGTTATAACAGAATGGAGAGGAGGAAAAAAGGAGGAATTGGATCATTGTGAAACTTTCCCTCTCTAAATTCTCTTCCTCTTCCTCTCTCTCTGTCTTATCTCTTTTCTATCTCTGTAATTCAATTTCGTTCTGAATTGAATTCTATATTTTCAATTCAAGTGTTGGTTGTTAAAAAAAAAAAAAATCAATAGTAAAGTTTTGCAGGTTGCTGGAATTAGTAGCTTTGAGGTTGAGATTTGATCTCAACCATTACTTTTGGTATCAGAGCAGCTACGTGAACTGGGATGGCTGAAACTCGAAGCAAGTCGAATGAGGATCATCTGAAGCGATGGATAAGGAGGTTGCAGATCTGGGGGTAGCATTTAAATCCTCTTATCAGATGTTGAAAGTGGTGAGCACCAAGCTGGATAGAATGGAGCAAATGATGGCTGAGATGAACCGAAGTATGAATCTATTGTAGCAATGTTAGCTCAGATGAAAGGGGGTAAAACCGTTTTTAAGGAGAAACAGATCGAAGAAAGTGCAGTGTCATTTCAAATCAGTGGCAATAACAGTCGTGGGAGTGAGTACCATTTAAGTAATTCCAATGGAAATAGAGAGTTTAAAATCATCCCAAATTACCCAAAATAGATTTCCCTTATTTTGGAGGAGATGAACCCAGGGATTGGTTGTGAAAGGCGAAAAAAATACTTTCAGATTCATCAAACGGAAGATGAGATGAGGATGGGAATTACTGAAATGTACCTCAAGGCTTAAGGGGAAGGCTGACATATGGTTCCATGGATTTATTTCCAGCCACCCCCACGTTGATTGGGACATGTTCTCAAGGGAAATTTGCAGGAGGTTTGCTGAGAACACAGCAAGGGAAGTAATATAAGTCTTCAGCAAGCTAAGGCAGAAGGGATCTATGATTGAATACCAGGAGCAATTTGAAGCATTGAAATCCCAAGTGATGATTTCCTTACCACACTTGCCGGAGTCCTACTATATTCTGTCTTTACGAGTGGCCTGAAAGATGAGATCAAATCAATGGTTAAAATCATTTAACCACAACCTCTAGCTAAAGCCTACAAAATTGCCATTCTACAAGAGAATACCATCACAGCCCTTAGCAAAGGCTCTAAAACTTTCAAACCTTACCCAACAAATAAGGGGACCAACCCAACCTCTAAACAGAATGAACCCACTCCTAAATCCACATCATACACTGAACCAAAAAACCCCACTAATCCCCTTAAATTTAAAGTCATTACACCCTCTCACTTTCAGGCAAAGAGAGAGCTCGGATTATGCTATAAGTGTGATGAGAAGTACGCTAAAGATCACATTTGCAAAAACAGGATGCTCAATTTCCTCTTAATAGATGAAGAGAAGGATGAGGTGAAAGAGGAACTACCTGGAAATGAAGAAGAGCAAATAGATAAAGGAAGAGCGGATGAACTAATGGAGATTTCACTCTGTGCATTGGTGGGCAGTAACAGGGGTAAAACTATCAGGTTGCCATGGTTGATTAAAGGAAAAAGAGTGCCTATTCTGATAGATAGTGGAAGCACTCATAGCTTCATTGATGAGCAGTTGGTCAATAACATTAGTTGCAGCCTACAGACAGCCAAACCTACCTTAGTAACTGTAGCAGGAGGAGGGAAACTCGTTAGCAAAGCTATTTGCAACACATTAACTTGGAAGATGCAGGATCTGGAGTTCCAATACCAATTGAGGGTTCTCAAATTAAGGGGCATTGATATGGTACTAGAGGTGGACTGGCTAAGTCAATTCAGCTCTGTATTTTTTTAATTCATAAAGGGGAGCATTACCTTCAGCCATGAAGGTATCAAAATGGAACTTCAAGATGAAACTATTAGAGAGGAATTTCTTATGTTGATTGACAATGAAGAGAAAAGATGGTGCAGGAGTCAAACTTATGGAATAATGGCACAAACTGCTGCCATCACTGAATGAGAACAAAATTCCACCCCTGCAGAAATAGAAGCTGTGGTGAATCAATTTCCTATGGTATTTTTGGAGCCAAAAGGCTTATTACCCCTGCCCAGGTTCAATGACCACCATATACCCCTAAAAAAGGGGGCCCAACCATACAAGATGAGACCATACAGATGCCCATACGTGCAGAGTAACATCCGTAGTAGAGGAAATCCTTCAAGAAAGACACGGAATGGGCTAGCTACTGAAAGAAAATCTGGCTCAAGCTAGAGCTAGAATAAAACATATAAACACAGAAGTGATTGACAATTTGAAGTGGGAGAGTTTATTTAAAGTTACATCCATATGCTCAACAAACAGTGGCTAGAAGAACTAACAATAAACTATCTGCAAGTTATTATGGACCACATCAGATAATTTGGATCAGTGGCTCACAAACTGGAACTACCTGCTATGGCCCTAATTCATCCAGTTTTCCAAATCTCATTACTCAAGAAGAAGACTGGGGAGAAAGAAGTTCCTATTCGTGCACTTCCAAATCGGAACCAGGCACATGGACAGTTCAGCCCCTACGGGTGTTGTCTACACGACGGGTCAATCAAAATGGGGAATCAATGGCAGGGCTCCAATCCAGACGAAGCGACTTGGGAGAATGCTGAGAACATGCAGGCATCTTTTCCATCCTTTCAACCTTGGGGACAAGGTGTAGCTGAGGGGGAGGGATGTTAAGAAAGAGCAGGTCAGCTGAAATAGGGAGACAGGCAAGAGGAACACCAGGAAAAAGACAAGCCAACCACATGTTTTTTAAATCAAGTGACGGCATCGTTTCAATTAAACTTAGCGGTGTTGTTTTGAGTCGAAATTGCTGAATGTAATAGGAATACGTTTTATTCAATGCATTTTCATAAAACACGTTTCTTCTTTCTTCGTTCTGAATTGAATTCTATATTTTCAATATAAGTGTTGGTTGTTAAAAAAAAAATCAATAGTAAAGTTTTCCAGTTTGCTGGAATTAGTAGATTTGAGGTTGAAATTTTAGCTCAACCATTACATACATTTATTTATCTATTCCCTAAATATACAGTCAACTATTAAAGAATTTATACAAGGAATGACAGATTCAACCATAGGCTAATATTTTGCATAGTTATCAAGAATCAAAGTATAGACGTGTAAATACAAAAGAATTAAGAAACAGTACATAAAGATCATGCAAGTAAACAGTAAAAAAAATTAAATTGAAGTCCCTTGCTGATAAATGCATCCCAGAATGCATTCTTTAAGAACCAAGAAAAGAGGAAACGCGGGCGCGCGCTCGCACGAATACCCACAATACCAATTTACAAAATTTCTATATTTCCATAAAAGAATAATTAAAAAAGTAAACGCAGAAGAGAATGAAAGGGTAACCTAGTGTTGTAGAGTTCTTGTGCCAAAAAACATCCCACCATTCAGAATCAACTGCTCTGTTATCTATGGGAACTGTGCTTACCCTCTTGCTCTTCTTCTTCTTGTTTTTGTTCTTCATTTTCTTGAATTTTTTAGAATCGTCTTTCTTGGGTTTCTTGTCTGGGGCCATCCCAGCAATTTTCACGAGAATTCCACTTTTTAAATCGAATTAACTGAAAGAAGAATTTTTTTAAAAAAAATCGAACGAATATCTGAAGCAGTAAGCTGCTAGATTGCGATTTAGATGAATTCACACGATTTCTGTTGAATTTATACCATTTAGCAGATTTAAACTGGAGAGTCGGATGAAAGATTTCAGATGGGCCGTGCTTAAGTTGAATGTCCGAAACGGGGAAATTAGGCATAATGCTCTAAAAATTGACCCAATTCGATTAATACCCTAAATTAATTAAATATTAAATAAATCTCGTATTAATTACGCCCTAAACTAGCTCTAGGCTGTTCAATTGAGTTACAGATTTACAGTTCTGCTGCTTCCCTCCGTCGCCACGTAATTACGGCAAGTGAGTCGCTGCAAGATTCTCTATCATCCCTGAACATTCTTTAGATATCCCGATCGTCATAGCCATGAATTCTAGAAGGGACCGCAATGCTAGAGTTGCTCTGTTTGACGGTATAGAGGAAGGTGGTATAAGGGCTTCATCTTCTTATTCTTCGCATGAAATTGATGAGCAAGAGAATGATAGGGCAGTTGATGGATTGCAAGATCGAGTGATTATGCTGAAAAGACTGTCAGATGATTTACTTTGTTTTAGGAATGCTACTGGTTTCCCAAGAATATGGTTGGAGATGAAATTTTACTTTCTTTTAGGAATGCTACTGGTAGAGATGGAGCTTGGATAGAATGTCACAGAAAGGAGCCCCCTATTGAGATGATGTTGCTGTGTAGTTTGGAGGCGATGGATCTCAATGGATAAACCTCTATTCTTGTTTGAGAATGCATAGTAGGTGTTTGAGAAAATGCTGTGAAGACTCTTTTTCCATATTCTATGATAATTTTTGTATGCGAGAGTGAAATTGAAAAATGGGATTTTTTTTTTTTTTGAACAATTTTGAATATGATTTTTAAGATTTGGCTACTATCGGGGCTTTTTTGTGCTTTTATATTTTATTTTAGCTTTTGAATTATATTCTGGGTTGAGTCTGTTGATTGGTGCTCTTGGGAAACTATCAATTTGCAATAATAACAAGATTAATCCTCTCGGTTTCATATGGCGGCCGACATCCGTTAAAAGAAGGGGCCAACACAATTTCAGATGACTTCGATTTCTTGTAGATAAGAACTGCTTGCCAGTTTGACTTTTGATGTTCTAAGGAAGCTCTTGAAAGTTGTTTCTCTACTTGATATGTTTTAAGGAAGCTGCTTGAAAAAATGTAACAGCATGGAAACGTTTCACTTCTGTTGAGAGTGTTGTAGTTGATTAGTTTATGGGAGCACTTCCAGTTTCAATTTTAATTTACTTATGAGAGCACTTCCTGTTGTAAGCATAGTTGTTGTCTTCATTTGACTAGTTTGTTTGAAATAATTATGTTCATCCACAAGCAATAAATTTGTCCAATTAGCAGAGTTTATTGGAAGTCTGAATTTGAGAGTATTAATGGGAAATCTATAACTGCACAACGAAAATGAACTCCATTTATCTCTGTGACTTTTTTTTTTAATGTTTGTTACTTTTTTTGAATTTTTATTATTTCTTTCGGTGCTTGTTATTTTTTATTTTTTATTTCTGTCACTTTTTTGAGTTTTTGTAACTTTTATTTATTATTTTCTATAACATTTTTAGTATTTGTTACTTTTTTAAGTTTTTGTCACTTTTTTGAATGAAACGATAAAGAAATGATACTTCGATTGTATTATCTTTCTTTGTGGCCGATTTTGTCTTCCTTTGAAGGGGGAAGTTCAAGTGTTTGTCACTTTTTTTGAATGTGTGCAACTTTTTTTAATGTGTTATTTTTTTAAATTCGTCACTTTTTAAAAATTTATGTCACTTTTTTTTTAGTATTTGTCACTTTTTTCAGTCGTCTTCTTGAAATTTCAATCACTTTTTTAGTAACAAACATCACTTTTTAATAAGAGCGAAAATGTACACAAATAGCATCAAATCATGGTGGGAAACGAGTTTGGTTTTTCTTCTCTCTTATATTTTACATTTTAGCACCACTTTTTAAGATTTCCAGATAGTTAACCATTTTGTCTAGTTTTTTTTATTTGCCTACTATTTAGTTAATTCTATATATATCGCGTGCATTCCGCATTAACAAAAAAGACAGAAAATGTCTACGTAAAAATTTACAAAATTATTTATCAAAAGTATCTTATCTGATTGTTAAGAATCAAGCTCACTTGTTAATGGTAGCGTCGAGATTTTATTTTATTTTGTCTCGAGTCAAGATTCATTTTTGAAATTTATTCTTTACGTTGGTAGAGATGACAACGGGACGGGTTTGGGGAGGGGAGGGGCGGGGCGCGAGCATGTCCCGTTTCCTGCCCCCCCTTTTTTCAGTTAAAATACAAATTCAAAAATTTAAAATCAAAAGCAAATAATGTTCAAACTAACTACATCAATATTCAAAGCAAGCACTCGAAACAAAAAATATCCAAAACAAACAATGTCAAAAACAATTATTATTATTATTATTTTAATTCTTCACGGGGAGGGTTCGGCCCGAGACGGGGCAGCGAACCTCACCCCGCCAACTAGACGAGGCGGGTTTTTTCACCCCATTGAGGACGGAGCGGGGTTTTTTGCCATGTGTAACGCTTGGCATCAAATTTAAGATCCTCTACGTTGGATGCATTGGGAATGACACGAAAGATCTAATTTCTCATGTCATTGCTATTTTTGATACTTGAAAACAAATTTTTTAAATATATCCCGATCTGAAACTCCTTTAGTGAACAATTTGTTTTGGCTCTAGTAAGAAGTCACATTTTATATTCGTAAGTATAATTTTGACATAATTTGCAAAGCTTTGCTCTACAAATAGGTTAAATTACACATTGCTGCTACATTTCTTTAGTTCATCAGAGGAAGCCAAATTTGGTTTGCTAGTGTGAAGCGTGTAATTGCAGGCTCCAACAGCCTCTCCCACCGTCAAGAAAATCCATTCATGGCCTATTGTATCTATGAATTTTGACTTGTTCAGCTTCTTCATCACCTCTCCACAAGGGTTGGCTAATACAAGCTGCAAATGCACCAATAAAACAATCAAATCCATATTCTTGGTCGACCATATAAATCTTTTTTCGTTGCTTAGGTTGATCTTAAGGTATACGACGGACCAAGCCAAGTCAACAAGATTGTAAGAGATAAAGATGACAAACCTTGAGGCCTCTTCTATCAATGATCTTCTTAACCTCCTCAAACATGCTAATCCCGCTCGTATCAATGTTTCCAACGGCTGGCAATATCAAATAAGAAGTCAAAATGTCAAATTTAGCCCCGATGGACAACTATTATTTCAAAATTCTTTAATTTTCATACTCATTTAATATTTTCAACCACATATTCACATAAAACCCAAATTTTTTAACCACGTTTTCCCCAAAAAAATCACTATTCAAAACTCAATTTTCTCAAAATAATAATTATCAAACGGGGGCATAGTTTTAGCCCTTGTCTGATTTTGTTAAAAATTAGATTTTCGGTAGATTCTGATTAAAGTTTATGAAATGTGTGGTCGAAAAGTTAATAAAAGTTATGAGCGCCGTAAGATATGCAATAGATTAAAATGAGTTTTAAAAGATGAAGACTAAACAGGGGCTTAAGTTCTTCCAAAGAGATTTAAGTAGTGTTTTTAAAGTTGATCATTTACCACTCATGTCTAGTATGACGTATTGTAAGCTCGTTTTTCCCGATGATTTTATCTCATTTTCTTCATCATCGATCCATCTCGAATTGCCCGATGATTTTATCTCATCTTCTTCATCGTCAATCCATCTCAAAATTCTGGAAGCAAAATTAAAACGAAAAAGTTATACACAATGTTTCGAAGAATTCTTGTCAAGAAAACAATTAAATTACAGCACCTTTCTCTCAAGTAGCTAGCATTCGCAAAGTAAATGGGAGCGTCGATCTCTAGTATCAAAATCCCGGGAACATTATTCGTGTTTGGATATTGATCGACACTTCTGTAAATCCCAGTATCTGGGATATTTCCAAGAACAAAGGTTCTTGGTCTTGCAACAAATAAAAGCACCCTAAGAACAGATAATCCAACCTGCATTTATACAAACACGATTAGTTCTTCACGCGACTAGTTCCATACATGATTCGTTCTCTTAGCATTCGATGCGACAAGTAGGTTCTTACTGCCAAGATTAGGCCAATCTCAATGTCGGCAAAAACGACGCCCAAGTAAGCACTCATGCACACTACGAAGTCGAATTTGTCTACGTGCCAAAGATGGATTGCAGCTTCATAGTCTATTAGGCCAAGCATTGCAGCAACTATAATTGAAGACAGAACTACAAGTGGGGTATGGTGGAACAATGGTGTTAAGAACAACAATGTTATCATCACTGATAATGCCATAACAATGTTAGAAACTGCTGTTTTGCATCCTGCATTGAAGTTCACTGCTGACCGCGAAAATGGCCCTGAAAATTCAATGTCCACAAGCAACATTTAGCACTTCAATCTGATAGCAAATGTGTTAAATAAAACACACCCGAATGAATGCTAGTCACAGTCGAATTCGAGAATGAAATCCGAATTTTTTTCTCTAAGTTAAATACATTCTTAAGTTACGATAAGGCTTTGTTTGTTATTATTGTTGTAAGTACGATCTATTTCGTTGTTACACCATACGGGCTACAAGAAGGCAATTATCACGGTACCAAGTCTAATTCCGAAGATACATAATTGTTGAAATTTTGGTTGATTATAATACTTCGGAAGACAAAGCCCCTGGTGTTTTGTAAATTTTAATAAAAGTTATTGAATCATGTTATTGAAAAAGTGATAAAGGTTGCAGGTCCATGAATGTATGGTTCAAAATGAGTTTAATTTTTGAAAATGGGACCAAACAAGGACTAAATTTCTTTTCTTATCAATTTGATTTTTGAATTTTTTTTGAAAGATTCAATTCATCAGATGCTCATATGCCAGATTTGTGTTTGATCAAATGCCTGTGAGAGAGGCATACCAGTGGTGAGGTAAGAGGAAGTGCAAGAACCAACAATATTCATCATTCCAAAAGCAATCATTTCTTTGTTTCCATCAATGTGGTAATTCTTGAACATGGCAAAGCTTCTGCCCACAGCTATACCTTCCTGTTTCAATACACATTACCAATGTCACTAACAACAAGATATAGGAAACCGTATCATCACGGAATTAGAAGTGTAAATCGGGTCGTGTGTGCCCATTTCTTAATATATGGGTCAATAAGATTTTGCCCTTTTGCCTAAATTTGTACAAGTTTCCCGTGTTAGGCCGCTTGATATATTGTGATACGTCTAGACAATGGTCCTTCTCCCTGTCCCCATCGAGCCATGCTCGACAAATTCTAATACCTCTAAACAGTGGTCCTTCTTCCCGTCCCCCATCTGGCTATGCTCAATACATTATGACAGTGTTCTAAAAAATACGTTTAGACGTGAATGTGGATATAACTCCTAGCTTCGGGCCTAGACGCCCTTTTTATTTGTTTGAGCCTAGGAGTGCCTTTTTTATTTTTTTTTAACCTACCGAAAGGTAAGCCTACAAAAGATTGGTGAAAAGGGGAAAAAAAACAAAAACTTACGGCAAGAGAAATGATGCCCGTGACGAAACCAGTTTTGATTACGGTTGACAGATATTGTGATCCAAATTCAAGATTCATAATTGATGGTGGATTTATCCCTTTCTTCAAGTGTCCAATCTGTTTACACATTCAAATCCAAAATCATGTCCATTTTTTCCTTCTCTTTTACTTAAAATTTTCCTTAATTATAAGTTACTTAGTTGTTAGGTGAGTGAAGGGCTTACCACTTGAACACCATGCTTTTCAGCATGGGTAAGGTAAACCAGTAAAGTTCCCAAAATAACTGATATCAACGGAGCTGTTGCTGATATCCAGAAGAGATTTGGTCTCTTTTTGCTCTGCATGTTCGGTGCACAGTATTAAACAGATGACTAATACACAAAATTTTAGCTACGGCTCAGTCGAGCCCGCGAAACATGTCGTAAAACAATGGGAGTAGGTTGGGTTTGAAAAATGAGTCTTGTTAATTAAAAGAAGCAAGAAAATAATAACTTAAAAGTAAGCATGTTGGTGTAAATTATTAGCCCAACAAATATTCTTAAAGACTTGTCTTTTTCTATCAGTTTTCTCAACAAACGAAGACTGGTGAGCAATCACTTTATGCAGTGAGTGGATAAGTGATGACAAAATAATTAATATTAATGTAGTAAAAGGCCAAAAAAAAAAAAAAGTTGGATTAAACTATAGAAGTATTAATTAATCAATAATAGAGGAAAAATGTGACATTTTACTTACGACATATCTGGCAACCAGTAGGTAGAAAAGGAAACAACATCCCAGCAATGCACTTTCCCATCTCCACTGTCCATAGAGCAATCAAAATTTTCTTCAATACACAGGAAAAAGTATAAAACAACCACAATAAAATATATGATATTATCATTTTATTCTCGATAAATTTGAAGTTGTGATTATATGTATGTTGGTCGCAAGTTGTGAGCTTCGGCCAAATTTTTAACCAAGCCAGATTAGACCGTTGCACGTTGACAAGAAACTCGTGTTGGCAAGGGGCCGAATATGCCACCAGAGTTTACAGTGCAAGCACCTACAACATTGCCACACACACCGCACACGACAAGGTTCAATGCCCATGTTTTGCTCGTCCCATCTAGCACCGTTCCCGCAAGCAACAATAATTGTATATTTTAGAGAGAGACGTCGAGAGAAAAACCTTATGAGTTTGGGAAAAAATAGAACGCATAACCGAGACAACATCAGTGGCATGAGTAAAATGGCTGAGGCCAAGTATCCCTTTTAATTGTTGTAGGCTCACAACAGTGGCTGCACCACTCATGAACCCTACTATTGTTGCATGGGACAGGAAATCCACTATGAACCCTAGCCTGCCCAAAAATTGTTATTAGGGTAAATAAATTCATATGTTTAAGAAGTTAAAATCTTGTTTATTGAATATACGGACCTAAAAATGCCTAGAACTGTTTCGAGAAGCCCGGCAAAGAGTGCTGCTGTAAAAGCAAGATGAAGATAGACTGTGGGGTTATCATTTATATTCACTACATCACTCAGCATTGAAGCCGTGAGAAGTGATCCAACAGCAACAGTTCCAACTGCCAAATCTCTTGAACTTCCCATTACTGCATAGACCAATGGAGGGACAAAGCTCGAATCTGGTGCACCGAGCAACCAAAATTCAGATAAGATTGCATGTTTGGTAAGATAGACTAGATAAAATTAAGGAACCAAGAGAACGTTTAGAAAAATTGGATCTATGTTCAACGGATCACCTCTAGTAAGAAACAGTATTTTGTTTTGGTTCAACTGGTCGTCACATATGAAATTACACACTATAAATTTAGCAACACTTTTTCCCTAGATTGTTACAGGAAAAGGAAATGTGCAATTTCTATACGAGAGTATTATTCATCTACATGTATCCTAATGAATCGTCCGTCGAATCTTTGCAATTGATGTTTCGTCCCGAAAAGAAGGAAAAGATATTCCAAAAGTGGGTTTTTACGATCTATAACAAGATTTTAACTTTTTCTTTTCTAACACAATGCGGTCTAATATAATGCTCGTATAATATTAATAGTACTCACATAGGCCAAGAATTGGAGGCAAATTTGCAAGCTTTGCGTAACTTATTCCTTGAGGAATAGCAAGGCTGGCTATGGTGATTCCGGCAATAAGATCAGCCTTAAAGAATTCCAAATTATATTTCCGGCCCCATTCGAGTATCGGAAAAACGTACTGGAGGCCTAATATGAACCTCTTCGCCGGCGGCTGGTTCTTGAATTGCCGGAGAGGATCGTCGGGAAAAAATGTTTCCTTGAGATTGTTCTTCAATGACTTCAAAAATGGCTGTGGTGGTGGAATTACTACACTGTGCACACACTCAAAATCTGTGTTGCCCATTTTCAGGCCAAAACCAGTGCTTATAGATAGAGAGGATAAAAGAAGAAGAAGAAGTAGTGTTATGGGGGTACGATGGAGATGGCTTTATATAGTGATTAGTGGAGTAGTAGTAAATCTAAAATAATAAATAGAAAGAAAAAATTGAATAGCTTTCTCTTTTGATGGTGGAAAGAAGGGAAAATTTTTGGTAAACCATACAAGTAAGTATTTGAGAAAATTATAAAGAAGAGTAATGAGTCACACGAAATGTGATCAGAATAAGTCAACTCTTCCACGATAACAAGTTGTGCTCCGAGCCTAGGCTGGATCATCGACCCTGGCTTTTTTCAAGTTTTTGTAAAGACAAATTGTTAAAGTATCGAAAAACCGTCATATGTTAAAAAGTGTTAAAAAAAATGGCCGCATATGCACGCGCAAGGTCCTATTCGATACAATTACTTTTAAGTAACTTTTTATTTTTTGGATAACGCTTATTTAATACTTGTAAATATGAGTGAGAAAAACTCTATATTGGTCTATATCGATGAGTTTGCATTAAAAATGATAAACGAAGTTTGAGAAAGTGATTACCTTGTAAACTTTTAAACTTAGTTAAACATGCCCGTATTGCATATTTATCTCTACAATAAGATTTTTTTCTCAAAACTCCGTAAGAGATAAATGCATATTATAGTGGAGATACACTAAGAAATTTGCTGTAATTAGAATTATATTGAAGTATTTCAAGAGGTATCATTTTTTAAAAAAATGGAATGTGTTATGGATAAGATTATAATGCCACGTGTGCTGTAATTATATTTTCTTGACCTTCAAATTGAAAATCTGATTTCATAATTCCCCCATTCATGGTTGACATTAATGTGAGATAAACATTATCTTTGTGTATTTAACTTTGGTTTTTTGACTAATTTTATGATGCTTCATAAATATGGATTCTCACAAGTCACGATAGTGCGATACTTTGATACCTGAGTTAGTAAACGAAATAATGTGAACGGAGAGTAAAATGAAAGTAGCATGTAAATATGACGACGGGTATCATATACCTAGTAGGGTCCAAGTGTCACTTGATAGAGCAGAATCTAGATGATCATCGATCATTGTAAGCAATGAGGTTGTTTTGGATTGATTGAGTAGATATTGGGATTAATGGGATTTGAGATTAGTTGTACAAGATTCGTCATCTTAGTGAATCACGAGTGATATTGAAAATCGATATGAATTATTTCCATATTCCAACGATAATATATCTAATCTTTACAAGTGTATTGATGTAGAGTTTCAACTTTAAACACCAGGCCAGTTGGACGATGAATTTCAAGTCACATGTTCTTTGATAGGGCAAGATTGTCTTGAGACCTTTGGTCACGTAATAGTTGAGCAAGATTAATATTTATCACGACTCTTGTAAAAGAAGTTAAAATGAAATAAAACTCTTGGGGAACTCTTTATCCTCTCCCCTCACCTAAAGAAGCATAGTGCTAGGAGCTCACCTTTAATTTGGAGGTAGGTTGCATATTTTCAACTTGAATAATGTTATTTACTTCCACTGAGATAATAACTATAGTCTATGTGACACTAATGTAGAATTAAATGATGGGTTAAATGAAATCTTATCGTTTAATGTTACATAGACTGGAGTTATAATCACAATGGAGGTAAATAGCATTATTCTTACAACTTGGCTACCTCTTGACGTGGAGCTTTCTTATTGGCTAAAATTCCATTGTGTGTATATTTGACGTGTTGTGCTATCATACATTTATACCATAAACTACCTCGTGCTTTGTTTATTGGGCTGGAAAGATTGTTCCTAGTCACCTAAAAGTGCCAACCAGCCTAATATTTCAAAAGAGAAAATCAAATTGAAAATTAATTTTGACCACTCAATTACATTTTCCACGTTTAGCTTGTTTTATTTTGAATCGCTTAGTTGATGAAAATAATTCTAAAAGCACATGCAACTAATTAAATATAAGTGTTTTTAAATTATTCTTTGATCACGTATCTTTAAAATATACATTTTTCGCATCGATTTAAATTAACAATAATAAACCAATCACATTATTCACAATCAAACGTGTTACTAATTTGTATTTTGTAGTCGTCTAAGAAGTATGGGGTGTTGTATTCGAGTGTGGTAGGTGAGATGTTAATGTCATAATTAATCTAAAATATGTTGTTGGTTTGGAGTCGACTAAAACCGTGCTATGGTTGGCTCATGTTTTTTCATATAGATCTTGGTTTGGATTGAATGCCTAAATAATAAACGGAACAGTTCCTCATACTCATAAATTTGACGTGCTTATTTGACAAATAGTCGTAATCCTTAATTTAAGTCAATCTAACGTTCAATATCTTATGAATCTCAAGTGATTATAACAAATTCTCTCATGACTTTAGTGACATACATATCGATTATTGAACTTATGAAGAACCGCTTAATTCGGTTCGGTTCGGTTCGGGTTCGGTTCAGGATTTTTGGACACCCCTAATTTCACCGATAATTTTACATTGCTCAATTACCTACTAAAGAAGTACATTATAAATTTCAATTAGTTAATTTAACTCCTTGTTTGACAACCATTAAAATGAGTTTGAAATAATGAAAATTTGAAGAACACGTAGTTCAAAAGTAGAATTTTTTTTGAGTCTAGAAAAAAAAAAAATCGTTTTAATGGTTGTCAAAAACTCAGGTGCTTAACTTGGAATTTGACACAACACTTTACAGCTAAGTCATGTTTTGACATACTTGGAAAATTCCTAATTGGAGCCTGGCCTAACTAGCCTCATTGAAAGAAAGCAAAAAGAAAATCGTATTAACACAAGCAGCCAATTTATCAAGTAGATGGAGAAACTCCCGACGGTATTCGTCCACACTGTGGTCGCTAGGAGAGCCGAGACCTATGATAAACAAGTCGAGCGGCTTGACTTAGCCTGGCCTAACTAGCCTCATTGAAAGAACGCAAAAAGAAAATCATATTAACACAAGTAGCCACTTTGTCAAGTAGATAGAGAAAGCCCCGACGGTATTCGTCCACACTTTGGTCGCCAGGAGAGCCGAGCCCAATGATAAACAAGTCAAGCGGCTCGACTTAGCCCAATGACAATCTTATCGTTACTAAGTAGAGCGAGATTGAGCAACAAACAAGTAAATGGCTTTTTGAGTGTTTATGCGGATTTGACGTTAACGATATTATTTATTTATACTTTCTAGAAGCTTTAAGCTTTTAACTCTTTCTTTCATGTAAAACCCTGCTCGAGTTCCAAATATTCCTAGATAAAAACTATGTAATGGTAAATACTTCAGCGGGTCGTGGTGTGCGGCACATCAATGTGAACTTTTTAAAAGTTGCTCCAATAATGCATCAAAAGTCATATCCATTTGTTGTCAAACACCACGTACCATTATTCTTTCGGTAATCATGCAAGGATTAAGATTTGCGGTTTTTTATGTAAATTTTTTTCGTCACAGTGAATTACTACAGCAAGTAATCTCACATTGAAAATGACCTCTATACATCTTGTGCGTTCTAGTCGTTGACGTTCCTATATTTCATTGCTATATTAGTATTTTTTTTATTTTATTTTTTTTTGCCTTTTAACATGTTTCACTCATGATAAGACTTCGTTCATTTTTTGATCAAATGTGTAAAGTAAAATGTGTAAAATTTCATAATTAGATTGTAGCAAAATTTGGCTCAACTCCTTTATCTGACTTGAGCACGTTTCTTTAACACACCTCCTCGCATGCATAGTTTGAATTTTGAAGACGTGAACGCTTGGTTCACATCGCACCATGATAGTTAGAGTGTACCTTGGCCATTGTTTTGACATTCATTAAAATGTGAATTTTTTGAAAAAAATTAGTTTTGGAATAGTGAATTTTTGGAGGATATGTGGCTAGAAAAATGAATTTACATGTAAAATATTTTATTGTGTAAATATGTGTGTAAAAATGAGTTTTTGAGAAAAAAAAAGTTTCCCTTTAATAGATTTATAGATGTCAAAGTCAAACAGAGGCTTGAGAGTTTGAAGAATTGAATGAGTGGTAATGGGCCTAAGAAAGTAGGAAAAAAAAAAAAAAAAAAAAAATTACACCCAACCATATATTTCAAGATCTAATTTCGAAACTCATATTTGAAGTTTATTTATTAAAAAAAAAATATCAGTTATTTATTCAATATTAACAGTAATTTAATTAAATTAATTTAATTTACGTCCCCACCCACTCAACCCAACCCAACCCAAATTTAATCATAAACCCTAATAACTTCTCTCTCATTTCTCTATCCATATCTCTCTGTTCTATCTCTTTCCTCACATCGATCGTCGTCGTCGGAGACAACCTCCAAGCAACACAGTGCATCTGTGCATAAGGCTGTCAATGGATTGAATTTTGATCCGAATCTGATCTGAATAAGATAAAATTAATGGGAGATGGATTTAAGGTCTCGATCCGATGACTTGATCAAGATTTGAATTCGATAATCCATTAACTAAATGAATCAAATATGGATATAGGTCAATCCGATCCGATTTCTTATAAAATATTTTAATGCCATGTTATTTCTGACCAAAATAAATAAATTTAGAATAAAAAAAGTCATCAAATTCAAAACATAAAAAAATTGAAAACTTTATAATTATTAAACCCGTTTAAGAATTGGAAAAATTGGAAAAAAAAATTGATTCCGACATTATTTTTTTCCTAATTTTTTTTAATTTCAGATCGGATTATCATATTGGATATCCGATAACATAGCAAAATGGATATTGATTTAACAATCAAATATCTGTTGGATTATCGGATCGGATATAGGCAGATCCGATCCACTTACAGCCCTAGCTGTGCACTTTGCTGTGAAGCCACTCCGTCATCTTCATCTCTTGTCTTTCTTTTCGTCGCGCGTAATGACGCTGCCACTCTCCCGTCTTTCTCTTAGTCGACGCCACGCTGCCACTCTCTCACTACCAAGCATAGAGAAGCCACATCGTTG